GGAGACCTTGTATGTGGGGAGAGAAGACCCTGTATGTGGGGGGGAGACCCTGTATGTGGAGGGAGAAGACCTTGTATGTGGAGGGGGAAGACCCTGTATGTGTGTGTGTGGGAGACCTTGTATGTGGGGAGAGAAGACCCTGTATGTGGGGAGAGAAGACCCTGTATGTGGGGAGAGAAGACCCTGTATGTGGGGAGAGAAGACCCTGTATGTGGGGAGAGAAGACCCTGTATGTGGAGGCGGGCAATGGGAGGAGACCACACATGCTGTTCTTCAGATGAGGCATCGCCATCTCAAGAGAGCCAGACAAAGATTCACATTTATTCAGCCAGTTGAAGAAGGGCCGGGCTCAAACCTACCTGTCCAAGTTCAAAGCCCACCCATTCCCCCCAACTCCTGCTCCCAGTCCTTGCCCTTGGCCCAGTTCTTGCCCCCTGGGTGGTGAATTGGCCACTGGCCACATGTTCAAAGGTAAGAGTAGAAGAAAGATCAGTCTGGGCCAGGAGGGGCCTCAGAAAACTGACTGCTAGAGTACTTGGCCCAGCCTCCCTCCAGCTTCCCTTCTTCCTGCTGGTCTTCCTGCTGGTCCTGAGCAAGGTGAGGGCTTCTGCCCTGGGCAATAAGAAAACTCCAAGAGGTGCTCCAGGAGCAAGTGGGGAGGGAGTGTTCTACAATCAGAGCTCTAGACGGCTGTACCCTGACACCTAGGGATCCACAGCACTAGACGGCTGTACCCTGGTTCCTGGGGATCCACAGCACTAGACGGCTGTACCCTGGTTCCTGAGGATCCAGAGAACTGAACAGTTGTACCCTGGCACCTGGGGATCAGCCTGAAAACAGAGCTACTCACTCTGCAAGACATGGACCCTAAAGACTCCTCCCAACAATCAGAGAAGCTGCGAAAAGAGGGCTCAATCCTGCTCAGCCATTGGTCATCATACAAGCCCAGTAGGGGCCTTGAGGTCGTCCTTATGCCCAGAATCTTCCACTGACAGCCTGTCTACCGAGTCCATTTCCCTCGGGCTACCTGGCATGGATGATCCCCACGGCCTCACAGGCTGATCTGCTCCTGTTTCACCAACAGGTTCCAGAACAGGCATGGGGGCTCTGCCCGAATAGAGCTCGGGATCTAGGAAAGTCAGCATTGGACATGGTCCTTTTAACTGACACTTGATTCATCCCTTAGCCTGCTCTGAGCCTCAGTTTCCTCCCTTGGATAAGAGAAACGGTCCTATGTGCCAGGAAGCATACAAAGCCCTGTAAAATGCCCCAGTGGGTGTGTCTCCAACTCTAGTCCAGGCTGCCTGACTGGTAAATAGGGAAAGGGAGTAAGTGGGTTGGGGATGTATTACCCACAGGACTGCAGCCCAAGCTAGGCTGGACTAGAGCAGAGTTCACACTTCCCCCACTGGCCAGCAGAGGGTGCCAGACAAATGGATAAAAAGAGGTCTGGCCCCAGCACCTCGTCCTAGGTGGATACTGCCACCCTGTCCAGGGATGACCCTAAATCCTACTTCACACTGATGCCACCAGCCTCCATCCTCATCTGTACCTGTTCCTAACTGACTGCTGTGGGCTCCTCCAGGAAGCAGCCGCAAAAGAAATGCAGGCAGCAGGTGGACAGATTGCTGCGCAGTCCAGCCATCCTGGCTCAACTCACCCAAGCAGTGGGTATCAGGGAGGGCAGGACATGGGGCTCTGAAAAGGGTAATGGCCATTGCTCGACATTTAAAGACTGATTTAGAGTGGCTGGTGCATTGGGGTTAGCATCATGCGGGCCCTCCAAGGCCTCCCTATCACCAAGCACCTGCACTGGGTAGATCAATCCCAAGTGATAAAACAAACCCCTTTCCCAGACGAGGACAGTGATGTGAGCTTGCCAGAGTCAGCTGGTGTACGTGAACCTGGCACATGGGTCTCTGCCACTCAGGAGTTGGTACCGAAAGTGTAGAGACCAGCTTTTCCCAAGATGCCTGTCGAAGCCTGACTGCTCCTGTCAGGAAGCTAGGATTACAAACCACCTCCTCCCTAGGCTGGCAGTCTTTTTACCTGGGGGCTTTCAGTGTTTGACCTTGTTGACCTGTTGAGCCCTAAGCACCTTAAGGAGACTGACCCCAGGACGGATGAGGCAGCGACCCAGCAGTGCCAGTCAGGCCCACAGCCTTGACCTCTGAGCCTTTACCCCTTGCCTTTAGTAGCTCCAGGAACTGCTATGGCTGGCATCCACAGGGCATTCCACCCCAAAGGCCTGCCTGTCACCTCAGCTCCCCCTGCCCTCTGCCCTCTGCCCCTTGGGTCACTCTCCTAAACAGAGATGATCTGAAGGTCTTAAGTTCATAGCGCCCATGGAACAGAGATATCCGCCGATCCACAATACCACACTGACCCCTGACCTCCAGGCCCATTTGGACACCAGTATGCCTTTGACCGTGAGGTCCTGTAATCCACTAGCACCCCGGAAGGCCCACTTCCTCCTTCCCAGGGCTGTATGACAGCCCCTCTTGTGGGGTGAGACACAGAACGTCCCCTCCATCCACGGCCTCGACCATGAAGCCTTCCAGAACCTTCCCTCACTCCACTAGACTTCTGTCAGCACTGCTGAAGCCTGGGGCGTGTGTGTCCTTCAGAGGCTGTGAGAAGTGGGCTGGCACCTGGGAGGCTGGCCCGTCCCCAGAGCCAGCGCTGCACTTCACAGGTGCAGGCCATTTGAAGACTGTTCAGCATCACTGAGTGCACTGGGTCCCTCATCATGAAGCAATTAGAGCATCGTTTGGCCATGGGGCTCCTGGATAAATATTTGGATTATCTACAGTCAGTAGGCTTGGCAGCCCGCACAGTGTCAACAGGTGGAGAAGGCAGCCAGGCTTTAACAGAGAAACTACAGTGGATGGTTGCCGGCGGTAGCATGAGCCCTCTTGTGCCAGCGCTGTGACCCACCAAGGCCACAGAGAGGCCAAGGCCAACCTTGCTGGTCATCATGGGGGAAGACAGGGCAGGGACGGGATCCTCACACTGCCCGGGAGTCCCTCTAGATGCCCATACTGGAAGAGCCTAGCTCGCAGGCGTGAAGTGTGTGACCAGCCACAGGGACTCAGCAAGGTGGGGGCCCTCACTGTCCCATGGAGCAGGTGAGAATAGCAACTACAAGGCATCCCATAACCTTTTCTGTAGTCACACAGGGGTGACAGACATGCCTGCCCACAGTGTGACCCAGAAATGGTTGGTCACTTCCTGAGAGCTGGCATCCGAGGCAGGTCAGAGCCCAGGTCAGCACGCAGCAGATAAGCCTGTAGGCCTGTGGTGGTCTCAGCGCAGAGCCCATCAACTTAAGAGCTTCATCCCTCAGCTCCAAAGCCGAGGTATGGACCCCAATCCTAAATCTCAGGCCAGCAGGCTTCCTCTCTCTGCTACAGACTCACACAGTCTTGAGCCAGACAGCACCTGCCATGGCCATCAGACACTGCCCTTAAAATCTAGTGATATCACCTGCCCCAGGCTTCACTTCTCACCTCCTTCCTTGGTCCCCATAAGGTTCTAAGGATGCAGGAGCCCAGAGTCCCTGTCCCAGGAGAGTGGAGAGTAAGAAAGGTCACTCGGGGGCTGGCAGTCCAAGCCCAGGCTTTTACCCATGGCTGTCCTACATGACTGGGGCTTAGCCACACAAGGGCCACTCAGAGCAATTTTAACAGTTCTGGATCAGGGACACTTACGTTCTGCAGGACTTCCTGGTAGGAGGGCGGCAGGGATGAAAGCTGAGATTCTGAGTGGTATGGAGAGAAGCCTTTCCGCAGAGTCCGGAACTCTCCAGAGCCTGCCTGCTGCAAAGGAAGGGGAGGCAGAGTCAGATCCAGGGACGGTGGAGGGGTCAAGACCCTCCATGCCAAGACCTTGTCCTGACCCAGGCCCCGCTCTTAGTAAGCATGTTGTCCTCTGTACAGAGTGACCTGTCTGCTCAAGCACCCCCTCCTGGATACCTGAACACAGCTCACAGGCTGCCTCTGCCATCAGTTAGACAATCCCTCTCCCCACTCATCCCAAAGTAGCCTGGGTGTTGGTCCTCTGAATACGCAGGAACCAGTGCACGCCAGTGCCTGAAAGGGCAATGGGAAGAAGGAGGGAGGATGGGCACGCACGTGTGCTGCCCTAAGGTAGCTCTCCTAGAGCCAGAGTCCCTAAGGTCCAGGGAAACCTCATAGCTGACAAGGTTTGGTCCAAACTGTCTACCTTCTAGGTCCAGCCCCACAGAAGACAGCCTTCCTTCCTTCCTAAACCACCAAGACTTCAAAGGAGAGGAGGGAGCAGATAAAAGCTGCAGAGGAATGTCCATAAATCAGCAGGCTGCTGAGTTCCCCAAACAAACCAGAAAGGGAGGAAGCCAGGCTGGCTGACAGGAAGGGACAGCAGCCCTATAAATGGGGTCCCTCCTCCCACCCAGCAGCCTGCTCATCCAGCCTGGGAGGGATCCCCACATTCCACTGCTGGCCTCCTGCCAGTCAAAGGGCCTAACCCCCATTTCTCAGACCCCCCACCGCCCACCCGACTGCCAGAGCTGCTAGCCTTTGCCACCTGCAGGTGGAGACAAGGAAAGCTCAAACAAAAGACAGAAGTGTCCAGACCACCAGATAAAACGCTGGGATAACCACTCCCCCACTATATCACCCCCAACCTGGAGAGCCCAGCGTCTAGTCAAAAGAAGTCTGTCAACCGGGCAACAGGGGGTGTACAGGGATCTGTTGGGCCGGGGAGCAGGGGCAGAGGGTTGGGGCTGTTTCCTCAGCCTTGGGTATGACCCAAATTCATGAGGGTACCCAGAAGCCTCCTGAGGTAACATCACATGGCTCTTACAATAGGCGTGGCCCCAGCAGCAGCATCTGCTAAGAGATCTCCTAAAAGACCTTGTAAAAGCAGAACTGTGGTACCCGGGCCATACACTTGCGGAGGCCACCCCAAGGCATTAGAGACCACAAGGGCCAGATCTAGAGCAGTGCCCTAAGACTAGGTCTCAAGAAAAGAGACTGGACCCAAAGTACCCGGTACTCCTTAACCCCACCATGAGTGACCCCCTTCCACAGCCACCATGCCTCCCTATGGGGTTACCCCAGCTCCATTCAAAACCATAAACTAAAGCACAGCCAGCTCTCTATGACCACAAAATACTCTCCATCAGAAAACACCTTCGAAGTTCTTATGAGCTCTGAATGCCCACACATAAAAAACACCCATGGGTCCTCATGGGACCTGCCTGCTGAGGCTGTTCTGTGGAGACATGAAAACGGCACTGCCACCTTGCCACCTTTATTTGCTGGACAAAATGAAGACAAAGGCAGGTTGCCAGCCCAGTAGAGAACACACAGTGACATCCCACTTGGCCACAGACCCAGGAACGGCAACTGATTGTAGCCTGGGCTCTTTCCCGCCAGCCCAGGATCAGGATGGCAGGACCTGTCCTGTCCTGTCCTGTCCTGTCCTGACCCACACACAGGATTAAGCCTGGGCTGGGCCTTCCTGCCCACAGCTTCTCTGGCCCTCAATCAGAGGTTCCTAGGCAGTTAAGCACTATAACTGGCAGTCAAACACTGTAAAGTACTAAGGTTTCAAGGTTTCCTCCCCTCCGACCCCCCAATTCCCCACAGCTTCCTGGATAATTTCCTTGGGTAAGGTGGGGGTTTCCAATTAGCAGCACACAACTCCTCACCCCTACTTTGGGTGCGCATCTATAAATATTTGCATGTGCGCAAATCTTTATTAGCAAGCCACAGAGCCAGGCAGGAAAACGCACACACAATCTCTCATTAAGGGGCAATGTGACTAATGACGCATCAAATGAGTAACCACGGCCGCACTTAACTCCAAATTAAAAACACTGCTAGTTGCCGCCTAGATCCCTGGGCAGAACCAAATTCCTGTTTTCATCTCAGAGGGGAGGCAGGGACTGCAGACGCCTTGAGGCGCACGGAATTTGCCATGGTTGAGCTAAAGGCCTTCTAGGAAGTAGCCTGCCCTGACATCCTAGCTGGTAGAGGGGAGGCTGAATCTCCCTGAGCCTTCCCAGGACTACAGGAAGACTCACAAGTCCCCTGCAGTTGCAGTGGCTAACTCTATGCCCCTCCCTCTTTTCTGAGCATCCAAGGCCAGCATGCCCCCTTTCGCCCTACTCCTAAGACTTCTGAGGGGCAGCATGAGAATTCTGAACTAGGAGCAAGGAGACCCAGGAGGCTGCAGGGTTCCTTTGCACTGAGACCTCAGAGTGGAGAGCAGTTCTGGCTTCTACCCAACAGCATCACCTAATGCCACCCCTAGGGCCTGGGAAAGCCTTGCCATGTAACCTCTGGCTACCCCACTGCACCCAGCTGCGCCTTGATACTCCCAGGCTCCAGTGCCTTCCTATTCCCAGGAATCTCTGCATGTGGAGCCTTCGGGAAGTGAGCCCCAGAGGCTGTACAGGGACCCCCTTCCCGGCTGTGCTGGAGGGAGCATGGCTCACGTCTCCCTACTCCCAACTTTCATCCCCTAAGATGTGCCAGCTCTAGGCAGCACCTCGTGTGTTCACAAGGCACTTGGAGAGGACAAACCAAGCAGGAGGCATGACACCATGCCACATAGATGCAGCCAGGCCTGGAGTGGAATCCTGTGTGCTAACCCAGTGGCCTGCCTGCAGGGGTCACTCGGACCTGAAGGCCCAGAGTCTCTTGCTGATCCAAGAACAACCAGGAAAAGAGCTACAGGATCCACCAAGGACCCAGAGCCCACGCCTGCTGTGTAAGCCTGCTGTGCGAAGTTGGGCTTTTCAAAGGGCATGGGGTTCTTGCAGACACCTCATTCCCTAGCAGCCTCCAGGACACTAAACACGCCCTGGAGAACTTGAGCACAAAGTGAAACATGGCCAGAGCCCAGGGTGGATCCTTTGATGGGGCCACTTTTCACTGCAGATGAGAAAGACCCTGTTTCTATCTTGGAGGTGGGAGGCCACAGCTCCAGAAACTATCACTCTCCCTGCCGGACTGGAGAGAAGACCTACCCAGGTCCTCCAGGCTATGGGTGGGGCTCCACAGGGAGCTCAGGCACTACTTTGTACCTCTCCTAGTCCCACCGTGGGCCTGCCTCCCAGGTCTGATGACCTTCCTCTATTGTCTTTGGCATAAAGAGGAAGGTTGTGGGATTGGTCACCAAAGAGTAATTAGTGATCTGAATCTGAATAATACACTGGGAGTCACTCCACCCAGGGAAACAAACAACTCACCATCTCACTGGCCAGGCTGGAAACAGAGGGAGGACTAACTGCAGGCGGCAGAGGGAGGACCGTGAGCAGCAGACGGAGGATTAAAGGCAACAGGAGGACTGCAGGGCAGGCAGAGGGAGGACTAGGGGCGGCAAAGGGAGGACTGCAGGGCAGGCAGAACACGGGCCTCTAGGAAGCTGTTATCCTACCAGGGCAGCCAGGGCCACAGACTGACCTGCGCTCAGTGGGCCTAATCCACAGCAAAGCCGACCAGAATCCAGGCTGTCACTCGTGTTGGGTGGAATTCCCAGTGTGGGACTCATGGGCGGAGGAAGGAAATAAGCAGTCTCCAAAGACAACTAGCCTCTGCCAGAGCCTACGGGCACTTCAGGGCGTCACTCAGACCCCATAGAGGAGAGCAGGAGGATGGGGGGGGGGGTACAAATGGCACTCCATTGCAGATGTCAGTTGATGTAGAACCTGGACACTTTGTAATGGCCTGGCTGACATGGCCAGGCAGCCCAGGCCCAGGGCCTGGCATGCAGTCATGTTGCTACTGATCAGTGGCTCTCAACTGGTATGACTGCCCCTGGGGACATCTGGAGAAGTCTAAGATATCTTTGGTTGCCACAACTGTTGTGAGTACAAGCCAGGGCGGCTTCCAAACCTACAACAGTGAGCAGGACCGTCTCTATTAACAAAGAGCCACCAGGCCCATGTCTCCACAGAACCAGAACTTGGACCAGAGTAGTGCAAGGCCTCCCGGACAGGAACTGTGGGGCAGGCAGCTCAGAACTGAGGGAAGAAGACAGGGGCAAAGTCACTGAAGGCCTAAAAGCTTGGGAAAGATGTCTTCCAGGGAGTCTCCCACAAAGCTGCTCACATAGGCTCAAAGGACCAAACATTATGTACAGTCCCAGCCCAGTGTCGATAGGCTGAGATTTGACCCATGACCTTTACCTCTGGGGGAGCCACCACTGTGTTGGCCAGACCTTTGCTCCACCATTCACTGGCGTAGCCTCCTCCAGCCCTGCCCTTCAAGCATCCTGCGCAGAACTGGGATGTGATGGGGCAGTGTCAGAAAGAGTGGGGGGTGAGGTCAGGAGAAGGATATGATATTCCCACCAGCACACAGGCTCCTGCCTCAGGCTGGCCAAGGGATACCACTGCAGGACTCACTGTTACACGGCAAAGCAGAGCTGATGCCAGCTCAGAAGGAGCAGGTGTAAAAAGAATCTCAAGGGAGGACTAGGGCATTCTGGAGGTGGTCGGCGCCCAGGAAAAGGATGAATGTGGAGAGGAGACACAGCAGACACACCACACAGCACTTAGCAGCCCTCCTGCCCCTCAGAGCCACTGCAAACCCCTCCCCCAGCAGGTCTACCTGGAGCTGGCTTCTCTGGCGGCTGTAGGGGCGGGGCAGCTGGAAGGAAAGAAAACAGCATCACCCTGCCAGTCTATGCCATCTGCCCAGTCCCTTTCCTGGGACAGGGACTGACTAAAGCCGTGAGCTCTTAGCGGTGCCAGGTAGTTTTTCCACACACAGGGCCAGAATAGAGGATGCTAAAAAGCCACTCGATGTTTGAGACAAGGGTCAAC